TTTACTCGCACACACGTTAGACTCCTTGGTCCGTGTTTCAAGATGGGTCGAATGGGAAACTCACAGGCTAGCACCGAGAGCACGTAGGTACTGAGGCACGCTGAGGGCGCGCGCTGTTCATCACAATTGGGGCAACGACATTCTGTGGGCATGTCGATTGCTTAGGCTATGGCTGCCACCTCAATACATACTGGTCCACACCCCGAGTCGATCGACTAACCGACTCGTCTCCATTTCACATCCAATCGGGATGCATCGCCGACCCCCATCCACTTTTCTCTCGACAATTTCAAGCATTCTTTGACTCTTTTTTCAAAGTTCTTTTTATCTTTCCCTCACGGTACTTGTTTGATATCAGTCTCTCGTCCGTATTTAGCCTCGGATGGAATTTACCACACGATTGGGGCTGTATTCCCAAACAACCCGACTCGCTGATCGCGCCTCGTGGTGTGATAGGGTTCGAGCACAACGGCGCTCTCACACTCTTTGGCACCCCTTTCCAGGGAACTTGAGCTTGGTCCACCGTTGAGGACGCTTCTCTAGACTACAATTCGAATGGTGGGGCCGTTCGATTCTTAAGTTGGGCTTTTTTCTATTCACTCATCATTACTAGGGGAATCCTTGTAAGTTTCTTTTCCACCTCTTATTGATATGTTTAAACTCATTTGGTGATCTCGCCTAACATAGGTCACTGTCGAGGTGTGAGAAACACTTTTGGGGTCGAGGCATTCGGGCCGAACGACGCGGTCGTGCGTGACAAGGGATGACTTGAGGTCTTCAACCACCAATTGCCACGACTCGAGTCAATGTCAAATTGCATTTAGACCAGTCTCACGTGGACACGCTCGGGGGCCAATGTTCGGCCTAATGCTCACGATCTCACGTTTGGGACGGGGACGGAGGGCGACAGTGTGCGTGACACCCAGGCAGACATGCCCTTGGCATAATGGCCTTGGGCACAACTTGCGTTCAAAAACTCGATGGTTCACGAGATTTTACAATTCAAACCAAGTGTCGTATTTTACTGTGTTCTTCATTGATGTGAGAGCTAAGATATCTATTATTGAGAGTCAGTTCGATTTCGACGTATACCCTATCCCCGAGGTGTCGACTGTGAATGGAGCATCGAGGGACGAGCAATGCTTTAAGTGTTCCTCGACGCTTTTCACCTCGGGGTTCGTTAGGTCATGTGACGGGCGCGTATACCCATGTCGATGGAGAAAGTCTCTAACTAGGGACAATGAGTTCGATCATGCCCACGTCGTCCTCCCGTGTGTGTTATGGAATGAGTTCGTGGGTCTGCTTTGTAGGTTTCGACAATAATCCTTCCACAAGTTCACCTACGAAAACCTTGTTACGACTTTTCCTTCCTCTAAATGATAAGGTTCAGTGGACTTCTCGTGACGTCATGGGCAGTAGACCGCCCACATCACCGCGATCTGAACACTTCACTAGACCATTCAATTGGTAGGAGCGACGGGTGCTGTGTACAAAGGCAGGGACATAGTCAACGTGAGCTGATGACTCACGTTTACTAGGAATTCCTCATTGAAGACCAACAATTGCAATGATCTATCCCCATCCCAATGAAATTTCAANCTTTTCAAAAGGTTCTTGTGGCTACTTGTTTGGAGCTTTTCTGCTAGGTCTTTGCTTGATTGCTCTCCAGTGTGTGCTTTGCTCGATTTTTACCTTGGCTTTGTTCTAGTGGCTTGAGTGCTTTTTTTTTCTTGTTGGTTACTTGGATTCCCGTTCAGACTAGTTTCTCTCTATTTGGCTCTCGGATTTCTTTCGTGATTCCCGATTCTTCATCTTCCTCCTGTTACATTTTTTTGGGTGTTCTTCATGGTTATGATGTGTATGTATTGTGTATGCATATTGTGCATATTTTCAGCTGATTGAATTTTGAATTTTAGTCTGCCTACTCCTCTAAATTTTGCCTCATTTGGAGTTTGTCCTCCGAATATCCAGCTTCTAGGTTCTGGCCTTTGTACTTTGAGTTGACATAGTTTGTGGGTTGTTGGACTGGTATTTGATCCGACCCTTTTCCTTTCATCTTGGGCCAATTTTTTCCTTCTTTGTTGGGTTGTCCAACTCTTTTTTTCTAGAATCTATTTATTGCATTTTTGGCTAGTTTGGTTATGGGTAAGAAAAAGGCCCGTTTTCTTTTTTTTTTTTTGGGCTTGGCCCCCTCAAGCCCCAGGTTGCACAACAATTTGATGCTAATTTGGATGAGGTTGCCTCTTAGACATTAAAAATGGTGGACAATTTAAAGGTAACCCCGCCTTCACTTAGTGTTTCCTTAACTCTTGGTGAGAATGATACAGATTCTGTTGAATCTGAATTTGAGTTAAATTCAGTGAATGAATAGAATCCTATCATTGTTAATGACGCCAATATTGATGATGTTAAAGAAAAGAAAGCTTCATGGGTTAATCTTTTTAAAGATAACAAAAAATTGGAGGAAAATATCATGTTAAGACCTTTTGAAAATCAATCTGAAGAAGTGATCTTGGATATCTTGGATGAAGAAAATATTGAAGATAAGGGGGGATATGGTTTAGTTGAATATTTTGTCGGTCAGTTTTCGAGGAAAGTGGCTCTCCTCCAACTATGTGACTCATGGAAGGTGGATTATAAATATTTTATGCATGCAAGTGGGTGGTTAGTGTTCAAATTCAAAACAGATGTGGATAGATTAATTGTATTGCATGGGAGTCCATATTTGGTTTATGGAAGACAGTTAATGCTAAAAGTTATGTCACGTTATTTTGATTTTGATGGTACTCACGCTGGTTTGGATAAACCTACCGAGGTTGTCTTTGGAATTTTGGAATATGAATGCCTTGGGCAAAATTGTGTCAAAGGTTGGGAAACCCATCTCAACCGACAAAATTACGGCAACTAGAGGCCGACTTTCGTATGCAAGAGTGCTTGTTGAAATTGATCCTTCTATCAAACTTGTGCGGGAGGTTAAGATTAGACTTCCAAATGGGACATTGAGGGAACAAGAAATTATTTTTGAACATGAACCAAAATTTTGTGGTTCTTGTAAAATCTTCGGTCATACTTCTCTTGGATGCAATTTAAAACATGGAGGGGTAGACAAAGGTAAGGCCAAAATTGGGGTATCTATTAATGTTCAAACTTGGGATGCTTATGGGACTAAAAAGCAGGTTGGAAAATTAGCTACAAACTCACAGGCCACTTCAACTAAAATGCAGATTGGGGAAAAAATGGACAGCAATCTAGGATTTTGGTTGAGCAACAAAGGCAGCCTCTTAACCAAAATTCAGAGCACCTAATTGATGTCTAGCAAGCCCAAATTTTGGATCAGGAAGATGAGCCATTTGTGGAGGTTGTTAGCAAGAAAAAATGGATAGTTCATGGAAAGAATAATTCATGTTCTTTAGCACCGATTTCTATGGCAGATTCTTCAGTAACTATCAATGAGGCATAACCAAAAATTTTTGAAAATGAGAAGCTCAAAGGTATTGTTGTTGAGCAAATAAAAATGATTACAAAAGTTGGCAAGAAGAAGGGAACATCCCTTGCTTCAACGTCATGAAGCTTGCATTTTGGATTATCAGGGGTATGAATCCACCCCTTAAACAAAATGGGATTTGTGAATTTATCAAGCAACATTACATTGATATTATGGGTATTTTGGAAACAAAGTTGGGGGATCTTAAATTGATGAGAATTTGAGGAATAAGTTCGATGGTTTCATGCATGTCAACAATTTTGGAACTCATAGAGCCGGACGGATCTTGATTTTGTAGAATCCATCCAAAGTATTTTTGGATGTGATGGAGGTTCATCCACAAATCATTCATTGTAAAGCTACTTGCAAGGTAACATCTAATACCTTTTTTGTTAGTTTTGTTTATGGATTTCATACTATGGTTAACCGGAGGCCACTTTGGAATAACATTATGGAGTTCAATGCTAATGTCTCATCACCGTGGTTGATTCTTGGTGACTACAATAATGTTCTTAAATTTGATAAGAAATGTAATGGGGCGGATGTCACCCCTTATGAAATCAAGGATCTTACAAATTTTTGCCTTCATGTGGGTCTAACGGATGTGCGGTCTATTGGTTGTTATTACACATGGACTAATAGTTCAGTTTGAAGCAAAATTGATAGGGCAATAGTCAATGATATTTGGGTACAAAATGGGGCATATGTTATTGCAAATTTTCTACCCTCCGATTGTCTTTCCGATCATTCCCATTGTATTGTTTCCGTTCATGACCGTGTTGGGGGCGAAAAAAACCTTTCAAGTTTTTCAACATGTGGACTAAGCATGTGGACTTCCATGATATCATTCAAGCTTGTTGGTATTTTAATGTGTGGGGGACAAATCAATTTATCTTTTGCAAGAAATTGAACAAACTAAAGGGAGCTTTGGAGGAGCTTAATAATAAGCATTTTGGGCACATTTCGACCACGGCAAATGAAGCTAAAATTGAATTGGAGGCTGCCCAATTACAATTACATAATAAGCCCATAAATGTGAATTTTCAACTTTTGGTTGCTAAGTTGAGAAAAAGGGCCATTGGTTTATATGAAGCGAAGCGGAGTTTTTATTATCAAAAGGCAAAATGCATCTTCCTTAAGGAAAGTGATAAACGTACAAAGTTTTTCCACTCGATGGTCAAAAGGAACTCTAGGAGGAATTTCATTGCTTCTATTCTTAAGGAGGATGGGATGTATAACACTTCACAAGACCAAGTTGCTTTGGAATTTGTAAATTCCTATACCAACTTCCTGGGAAATATGAGCCCGTTCAGCCTATTAACAACGACATTATTTGTAATGGGCCTTTGGTTTCTTTGGAATAAGGAAATGCATTGGTTCGGGACATTTCTATTGAAGAGATCAAAGAGGCATTTTTTGGGATTGGAGATGATAAATCTCCCAGCCCGGATGGGTGCACTTCATGTTTTTTCAAAAGTGCATGGGGTATATTGAACATGATTTTGTGGAGGCTATTATGGAATTCTTTACATCGGGATCCATCCTTAAGCAAATCAACCATGCGGTCAATGCTTTGGTACCAAAGTCTACTCATACACCTAGTGTTGGGGATTATAGATCGATATCTTGTTGTAATGTGATATATAAAGTGATCACAAAAATCCTTGCATCTAGATTGAGGCCTATCTTGGGAGACATTGTGGACCAAGCACAAGCTGCTTTCATTGAAGGTAGAAGCATGATGGAAAATATTCATCTTGTTCAAGAACTTATGAGAGAATACAATAGAAAGAGGGTAACTCCAAGATGCCTCCTTAAAATTGATTTAAGGAAAGCTTATGACTCAGTTAGTTGGGGACTTTCTCAAAAGTGCACTTGAAGGGTTGAATTTTCCTTTGAGATTTGTTCAATGGATTATGGAATGTATTACCACTCCAACATATTCCATTGCTTTGATTGGGAGTATACATGGATTCTTCAAAGGTGGGCAAGGTCTTCGGCAAGGTGATCCACTTTTCCCTTTTTTGTTCGTGTTTTGTCTTGAATATTTTTCTAGAATGATCAAGGATGCTACAAATGATAGTGATTTTAATTATCACCCAAAATGTGGTCCCCTTAAGATAACCCATTTGGCTTTTGCGGACGACTTGATGCTCTTTACAAGGGGAGATGCTATGTTCGTGGAAATTTTCATGAATTGCCTTGACAAGTTTGGTTTAACTTTGGGTTTGAAGATCAACACTTTGAAATCTAGCTTATAAACAGCTGGGATTTATGGGTATGAACTTGAAAGAATCATGGAAATCCTAATTTCTCTAAAGGGGACTATGCCTTTTCATTACTTAGGTATATCTCTTGTCTCGGAGAAGCTCAAAGTGAGTTTTTATGCTACACTCCTTGAAAAAATTGCGGCTTATATTGGAGCTTGGAATTGCTCATCCTTATCTTATGCCGACAAAGTGGAACTTATTAGGGTGGTGTTTCAAGGAGTTGAATGTTTTTAGCTTTCTATCTTCCCCATCCCGGCTACAATTATATCAAGGATTGTTAGCCTTTGTCAGAAATTCCTTTGGGGATCAAAGAAGCCTTTGGTTGTGTGGAAGGATCTTTGACTTCCAAAAGAGGAAGGGGGCCTTGGATTAAAGGACTTAAAGAGTTGGAATTTAGCATTAACTGCTAAATCCCATTGGAACATTCAACATAAAAAGGACACTCTATGGATTCGGTGGGTTCATCAAGTATATCTTAATGGGACTTGCATTTTGGAGGTTCGTACTAGGAAAGATCATTCTCCACTATTCATGAAAAAGGTGTTGCCCAACAGATTTTAACTGATGGAAAGCTTCGAGCATTAGGTCAGATGGATGCTGGCATTATCCTTTCTCGACATGCTGGTTTAGCCCCAAATTACCTTTCTGGGCATGCACAGAACATGGACCAAACTGGGCAGAATCTGGATAGTCATAGAGATGGACAGATAGTTCGATTCGATAGGCAGTTTCTAGGTTTTTTGGAGCAATTTCTGGGCTATTCAGCTGAGGATAAATTCAGCACAAAAATTTCCTATAATTTCTTTAGGCCTAAGGGTACATTCAAGACTTGGGGACCTGAAGTTTGGAAATTGTGCATCACTTTGACGTATTCCTTTTTGCTTTGGTTAGGGGTTCAATCTAAATTCCTAACTAAAGAAAAAATTGTAATTCTTGGATATTGATCGTAATTGTGTATTTTGTAGGCATTTGTCGAAAACTTGCGACCATCTTTTCTTTAAATGTTTCTTTACATCTAAAATATGGGGGAATGTTAGGCAATGGCTCGGCATCAAGAGATCTATGACAACACTTGTTAGTGCTCTAAAGTGGTTGAAGAAGGAGGCCCATGGGACATCATGGCTTAGTAAGGTGAAGAGGATTGCTCTTGCTAGCACTGTATATTACATTTGGTTAACATGGAATAGGAAGATTTTTGAAGATCTTTCGACCAATTTGGATTGCATTGTGAGACAGATCAAGACACACGTATACAAAGTTATGTTCACTTCGTATCCAGATGTCTTGATCCATTTCGAGTATTTAGCATTGGGTCATTGACTTTTTAAGCACTTCACTTGTTTTGTATTTCCCGGGTATGCCTGGAGTAATTGTATGTGTTAATAGACTTTTGATTGCTCAGGAATTCCTTGTGTACTTGTATATGGAACATTTTTGACCAATGATATTTACATTTACCGATAAAAAAAAAGAGAAAGAGCTCTCAGTCCATCAATCCTTACTATGTCTGGACCTGGTAGGGTAAAAGGCCGATTGGAAGGCCGTAAGGTATGAGCTTCGATCGATTTCTAGGCAACCCGATTGGAAGGAGTGCATTCGTAAAAACTACATTGCAACGTACATCTTATGCCTAGGCCAATCGATCGACACATCTTATAGTTTCATCCCCATGCCTGCCCTCCATCCTGTATCATCGTGCCTTTCGATGGTCTCATTTTCGAATAATTTCATGCCGTCCGATCGGATATTGGGAAGTTGCAGGAACTACATTGCAATGCACGTCATATGCCTAGGCCAATCGATTGACACGTTGCACGATTTTCCTCCATCCTGCATCGTTGTGCCTCATGACGGTCTCGATTCAGGATAATTTTGTACCAACCGACCAAACATTGGGAAGTTGCAAGCACTACGTTGCAACGTGTGTCTTATGCCTAGGCTAATCGATCGCGACGTCCCCACTCATGCCCTTCGTCTAGATTGTTCCTCCCACTCTCGTCGGGACTTTACTCCATTTCTGGATCGAAATAGGCAATTGCGAGCAAATTCATTACATGTTGTCTTAATCCAGGGCCATCGTTGGACACGCAATGTGTGTCTATGCATGCCTTCCATTCAGGTGCTACTGGGGGTCGTCGACCGGAGTTTCGCTAGAGCAGTACCATCGTTGGATGGGAAACTTGCCCGGGCTAGCATGTGTCAATCTCCAAGGCTCCGATGTTTGTAGGGATGCAAGCCACCCGTAGGTAGTTACTCCCTGAAGTAGCTTACACATGCTGCTTGTTCCCTTTCATGTACCTCCTCCCCCCTATAATAGACTTCTGAGAAAAAACCCAACTGACAGGAGTTGATACGAAAGGGCTGAGGAATCATACTATTTCTTTTCCATTTTTTGTAGGATTTTTGGTGATGAAAGTATGATTGAATGGGGTCTGAAAAAAATATTTTCGACCGAAAAATATTTTTATTTTCTATTTAAAAAAGTATTAAAAATAGGAAAAATCGTAAAAAATGGAAAACGGATGGGGAAAAATCGCCAAAAATCACTGGAGGCTCGTTATAATCAAATATTTGAGGAGCAATTGCTCTTTTGTCAAAAACAATTTTGATTCGCACATTTTTGATGTGTGCACGAAAATAGGGTATGGGGCGGGGAGGAAGGTGAAATGTGGTGGAAACAACTCGAAATGTATTAAATTGGAATGATAAACTTCTATTGAGCAATCATTTTATGTTTTCGACAACCATCAATTGATAAAACATCGCGAGGCTTACTTTTGCTCATCATGTGACACAAAGGCAGCGTCGTGTCCTGGCAGTGGTAGGGATGAAGGCACATTTTCAGGCATTCTCAGGCACGTTTAGGCATACGATGTGCAGGCCATGTCAGGGATGTGGGCACATTTTTAGGCATTTCTAGGCAGTTTCTGGGATAAGGTGTGCGGACATGTTCGGGACGTGGGCAGATTTTCAGGCACACGAAGGCAGCACAGTGTGTAGGCCATGTTAGAGATACAGTTTCATGAGGTACCTTCTTTTTGGCACAGAAAGGGACACCGTACGGCAATAGTCTGCTCTGCTAGACTACTTCCGCCTTTTCTCGATCGCATCGGGATGAAAGAAAATTTGATTAAAATTTTGTAGAAAGATTACAATGGAGAATTTGAATACATGGAAAGTAAATTGAACATTGATTGATAAAAACTGAACATTACAATTAATGAAAGCAATTTAATTACAATTACTGGTGCAGGGGGCGGACACCAGTGAGCTTGAAAGATTTTTGAATGACTAATATCCCCTGTAATAGCATTCTGAACAAAAACCTAAGTGACAGGAGTAGACGTTTAAATGATAAGGAATCATACTAAACGTTTACTAATATAGAGCTATTTTACAACTGAAATAACTATTACAATGAAAAGAAAATTACAACTCAAATTTGATCTAATATTTACAATTTGCGATCAAAGTTAGGCAAATTGTGGCTACAATTGTGTCCAAGGGCTAAGTAATGCTATGGTCCTTGACATTCTCTCCCATTTGTTTTGGCAACGTCCTTGGTGCCATCAATGCATGATATGCTTCAATTAATGGTTTGAAGGCTCCAAGGTCCTTTTCTCTTTCCCAAGTATTCTCCTCATTGTTGCATCCAATCCATTTGACCAAGTACTCTTGATGATCTTTTCTAGAAGCTCAAGTGATTCGATGGTCAAGAATAGCTTCAACAACCTTCTTTCCAACTTTCTTCAGTTCAAACACAGGTCGCCTTGGCTCATTTCTAGATGCGTTCTCCTTATCTACAAAGTATGGCTTTAGCACACTAACAAAAAGGACCTTGTGGATTTTACACCATGAAGGAGGTTCAACTTTGTATGCGACTCTTCCAATCCTCTTCAAGATGGGTAATGGTCCAATATATTTTGGTGTCAATCTTTAGTCCTTTCCTCTTGTCGGTTTGTACACATTTCTATCGGGAAGCTTAACCATTACAAGATCTCCAATATTGAATTCAAGGAAACGGCACTTTAGATCTGCAAACTTTTTGTACCCTTTTTGAGCTTTCTCAAGATAACTCCAAGCAATTTCAATATTTCGTTTCCACTCTTGAGAAAAGTTCTTCGCTTAAGGAGACTTGGTACTTTGTTCAATATCCATAGTATGAGGGAGCAGCGGTTGTTGGCCAGTAACAATCTCAAAAGGACTCTTATTGGTGGAAGAGCTCTTTTGGGCATTGAAGCAAATCTGGGCCACATCCAAAAGTTTCACCCATTTTTTTGTGAAGTAGAGATAAAGTACCGAAGATATTCTTCTAGCATAGAATTGAAGCTCTCCGTCTATCCATCAGATTGTGAGTGGAAACTAGAACTCATGCTCAAAGTTAAACCAAGAAGTTTGAACAACTCAGTCCAGAATATGCCAGTGAAACGAGGATCTCGATCACTAACGATGTCCTTAGGCAGTCCCCAGTATTTGATAATATGTTTGAAGAAGAGTTGAGCTGTCTCTTCCGTGGATACATAGTTAGGTGCTACAATGAAAGTCACGTATTTCGATAGACAATCCACCACGATGATGATAGTGCCAAAATCCTCAACTTTTGGCAACCCAATAATATAGTCCATTGATACACTTTCGAATGGCTTGGTAGGGATGAAAAGTGGCTCTAGCAAGCCTGCCTTTTTTGTTGATCTGCCTTATCTTGTTGACAAATAAGATAGGTTTTTACATAGATTACGATGTCATCCTGCATTTGAGGCCAGTAGTATGCACGTTGCAGTAGTGCACAAGTGCATTCCTCTCCGGGATGCCCTGCCCAAATCGTGTTGTGGCATTTCGTAATTAGTGATTTCCTCAAATCTCCACTCTTAGGAACATATAGGCGGTCTCCCTTAGTCTTCACTAGTTCTCCATTGAGCCAGAACTGTCGAGTCTTACCCTGCTTGATGAGGTTGACCAAATATTGAGTAGCTGGGTCCTTATCCATAAGTGCCCAAATTTGGTCTCTTGTGTTTGTGGTGATGGCACTTCCTGAAAGGGCAGCTATGAATGTAGAACCCCAAATAATTCTAGATAGCTTAGTGGCACTAAGATATGAATATTGGATAACTAAAGTATACTTCAGATTTTTAGTCTCATTTGAGACCCGTTTTCAACATAGAAAACATTCGATTTGGAAAATGAAATCTAAATAAAAGTTGTATCTATTTGAATTAGCGTTCCAATGCACTTTGAATTACCTCAATTGGATATCGAGAGAAGAAGTTATGATAGAAAAACTAAAAGCTGTGCAGTGTCAACGAACTACAACCGGTCGACCGAAACTGCCTAAAATGAAAATTCTCATTTTTCT